GGCTATGAAATAGTGCAAAGTAGCACATTCTAAGGGTATTTTTAGGAATCATATAAACTAAGTTGCGTATTAAAAATATACTTGTAGCAAGTCTAGAACTTAAGTAATCTATCTGAGCACTCCAATCCAAATTATCGTCTATAAAGATTCCTAATAGTTTAACACTATTTCTTAAGATATACTATCCAATCAGAACTAAAAATCAAATTCTGATTTTTCTCTTCATGAGCAATGGGCTAATCCATTATGTGAGAACCAGTTTTTTGCTTTCTTGCTATCACTATCTATTTTAAATTTTTAAATTATTCTGATTAATATCAGTATTTATGAGAGTTGTATCATCTGCGAAGCAAACACATTTTATAGGAAAAGTGTAGTGAAATAAATCGTTCAGATAAATAAGAAACAAAGTGGGTCCTAATATCGAACCTTGAGGTACACCATATTCGACAGTGTTAAATTCAGAATAGCTGTTATTAAGAAAAACTGCCTGTTTTCTATTTGTTTAGGTATGATCTAAATAGATTAAGAGTGTTTACCCTAATACCGTACTTATGCATTTTTTATCCAACAGTAATTCATGCGAAACACAGTCAAAAGCTTTGGATAAGTCACACAATGTCAAAGACACAAAATGACCTTCCTCCATGCCATCAACTATATCTCTCACAATTTTCTGTATAGCTAGTGTAGTGCTACACTTTTTTCTAAAGCCATATTGGTTTACAGTGAAGTATTTTGTGTTTTCCTAGATATTCTAACCAAACGAACATTTAGAATACTCTCAAAAATTTTGCCGAAAATGGGAATGATTGAGATGGGACGGTAATTTCCAATTTCATCTAAAGCTCCCTTTTTGAACACTGGTAGCACTTTTGTTAACTTTTAAAACATCTGGGAAAATCCCCTCAGTAAGACAATTACTATAAAGTATTAGTACATTGTTTACCGGGTAGGAAAAGCTTAACATTCCTGGACGAACTGTGAAGATTGCTAAGTCGAGGCGCAAGCCGAGACTTAGCAACACACCACAGAGTCCCAGGAATGTGGGCTTTTCCCTACGAGGTAAACATACTATTTTTTCCGCAAATCGTTAAAAATTCGACAGATATTGATTGATTTAAAAAAAAAAACGCGATAATTTTATTCCCAAATAAATAATGGTGCTTTGAAATTCCTAATAAAATTACTTGGGTTACTATGGAAACGTATTGAGGTTGAATTGTCAATCGTATCAAAAGTTTTCTATCATTTATGTAGAACACTAACAACTGTACGGAAATATCATTTCCTTACAGTAAGGAAATGACATTTCCTTACAGTAAGGAAGTCCTGACTTTTTCTTCAAGAAATTTTGACAGGAATGTCAAAATTTCCTGGCGATTTGCGGAAAAATTAATTTGTCAATAATAATATCGATTGTTTCCACAATTATTTTTTTTGTTTAAGAAATAAAAATTCCGTTCAGTGTGAATTTTTCAATCTATGCAAAACATTCCTGATTTCAGTATCACTAACAGGTAATAAAAATAAAGAGTTGCAAGGAGAGTACATCTTTCAAAAAATCTATGGCTATATTTTCATTTGTAGAATTAAAAGAACTTCTAATATGTTTAGCCACTGAAGTAAAGTAATTATTGAAATCGTTTGATGTAATCGCGCTTGGACAGACTTTTTTATTTTGAAATTTATTTCTGTCATAATTTATAACTTTCCAACTATCACGAGATATATTTTCAGAATTGGAAAAAAAAATTTTCATAAGCCAGTTTTTTCTTTAATGATATTGTTGATTTATAGTGCTTCTTAAATTTTTATACTCACTATATTCCTTTGTAACATCAGCAAATTATCTTGACTGTGGAAAGATTTTTTCGCATTTCTATGAATTCATCATCATAATATATACTCATTACTTTAACACCTCTTCTCATTTGAATTTTCGTTTTTGGGATAGCTTCTTTACTGTCATATTCTAGGGCAGTCAATCCTTCCTCAATAGTTTTAAATAACCTTTCCTAGTCAGTCAGTTTGTCAAATTACTTGAAAACTGGTTTCTATAGTCAAGTCTTTTTGATTATTGGATTCTGATTCTCTTCTAGTCTTAGTACCTTTAGAAGTCCGTGCATATGACTTATTAGTGCTTACTACTAAGGACTTTGTATTTTGGTTGCTCTTGTAGTTTTTTAATAAATAAACCATATTATTTCAATTATGTTAAAATATACCTTGTAATTTGTGAATAATTTTTCTTTCTTTTTCAGGTGAGTCAGCTGATTAATCAAAATGCTTCATTGTTAAAGGTATGTTTTTTTAAATATATAATTTATTGTAATTGCGATATTAATCGAACTCATTTACTTTTAAAGCAGATTTATTTTGATATTATAAATGAACGTGATAAATTCAAAATAAAACGCTCAAAACACTATACTAAAAATAAGCTATAGTATCGTGTTTGCCACTTAGTAACAAACAGATTTCGGTCTAATCATTGATTTTTTTCTATCTTAATATATTCGTTATTTCCCCTGCTACATCGCATGTTAGGATTTATCACTTTTTTTGTACTTAGCCAGAGGCCTTCTTTAAGCCAATAAATCAAAATTTGTCTTATAGTAAATCTATTTTTATCCATAGTAACTATGGTATCCCGTATGTCGCTATACGTTCATTAATAATAAAGATATTGGGTAGTGTTCTTATATAGTCGCCTTGTTTGTTTTTTCTATATTAGTATAATCATTATCCACTCTCCTCTCATTTAACGCATCTCGCGCTTGATTGCATATTCATTCAACATACTTCTTAAGAACACTAATTCTTTAGCCAGTAAATAATAGTATTGATACTGCCTACATGTCGCTTTATTAATCGATTTTAAAGTTAGCTTTTTATAATAGTCCGTGTGTGGATGCTGGACGTGGAGCTGAAAAAATAAGATAGTAAATCATTCTATTCTATAATGGGGTTTAACTCAAGTTGTTGCCGATTGTTCCTAATAAAAGTCAGCTAATATTTATATGCTCTTTTCCATAACTTCTAAAATTGTCAGGCTATGTGACTGCAAATCCTAATAAAAACTAATCAATGAAGTTCAATATGCTTCTCAATATAGTGTGGACTTCTGAAAGAGTATTTTAACTTGATATGTGCTGACAAATAAAAAAATCCTTTTTAAAGTGACCAAGAAATTCGTCGCAGGAAGAGTGAAAAACGATTAACATTGAACTCCTTAAATTAAAACGTGTCCTGTCATATCTTGCGCAGATCGAAATTATGGAACACATGGTGAAAAAAATGGTAATTACCTTCACTAACTGGCAACTAAATGAATAACTTAATATCATTTTGCAGGTTAGCAGATATGCCAAGGAGGAATAAACATGCTGCATTAGTTGTCCTACTCATAATCGTACTACTTTTATACAGCTGAACGTAAAAAATACTAGTAGGCTACTAACACTTATGAACAATACTATGCGACAAACACTTATACTCGAAAGGGTATTCATTCATGTAGACCCAAGAAACATTGGAGTGAATTAGGTGATCATTAGCATTATACTAAACATCAAAAGTAGAACTTGTATCTTCTGTAGATCTAAGATGAGGAGAAGAGCCAGGAGAAATTGTTTACCTACCCACAAAAACTAGATAGGGCTTTTATTTATAGTATGGGACTTCTTTTTGTTCTTCATGTGCTATTACAGAATTATCCGACGTTAACCAATTTTCTCAATTTTCAGCCTTTGATATCTCAGTCCAGTCACGAATGTTTTTAAACCTAGAAACCTGTGTTTTTTCTGCATTTCTACAGCCTTATGCCTTACGGCCACCTCTATTATGACATTAAGGTTTAATTGTAATATCTGTATCGATTTCCCCTCAATATATGTCCCAGAAAAGACAGTTTTCGATGTTTAACAGTCTTTAGCAATTCTCTATCTTACTTGACGCTCCTTAGTACTTCCTAATTAGTTTCCCTTTCTCGCGAAGGTATCGTTAGCGTTTCTCTATGAACCTATATTTCCAATGCTTCAATTATATATATACTTGATACTTTTAGTGTCCACACTTCTGCTCCAAACAGATTCTAGTACAGACCAAATATACCAATTAACCATTCTTAGTTTTAGTTCTAAACTGAGATGATTATTGCAAAAAAAGTCTTATTTTCATAAAACTGATTTAAGTAATTGCTATTCTTCTGGATCAAATTGGTCCGTTATGATAGTTCTCATAGAATATGTAATTTTATGCACTTTTCCAACTTGGACTCCATTTAATTGAAGCTCTGCATCTGGATAGGGGTTACGACAAACGACAAAAAATTTGGTTCTATTTAAGTTTTATTCTAATGGGCATTTCCTCTTCTACTTCGAGAATACGATCAAGCAGAATTTGGAAACGTTCAATTTTTTCTAACAGAATGACTGCATAGTTCGTGTATGCAATTACATTAAGTAGTTACGCACTGATTTTGCTTCTATCTGGCTGTCTCTTAAGCGTCTTTTTAAATACCTGGTCTGAGTAAATATTCAACAATGTTAAGGACAAAATGCAACCTTATCTGAATCCTCGTTGTATGAAGATTTCATCGGTGTAAGTCGCAGTTTAAGTCCAGTACAAATTTATAATCATACGATTATCTTTGTCATCTATTTCTATATTTTTTAGCATCTGCATTAATTTTACATGCTGTACTTTTTCGAAGTTAACAAAGCATGCAAATACATCTTTTCTTTGATCATGGCATTTTTGTAATGGGATATTTCGCTTAAAAAAGCCTCCCTAGTTACCGTAACATTTCTAAAACTAAATTAGGTATTAGGTATTCCAACTCTAATAGGTAATCTAACCTTGGTGGAGTTTATTGATGAAACAACAGAGATTTTACCATTAAGTAGTGGAACTAAGTAGTAAATCGTCTGACGTAAGAATAATATAAAGACACAAATGTCATTTTTAATAGAAAAATCACATTAAAAAAACATGCGTTTTATAATTTAAAGATTTATTTTATTAAAAATTATACACAATTTCACCATTTTTTGTTGTAACCACCCAATTTGCTTGGAATATATGATTTCAAAACACCACTGTAGTCTTCACCATGACCGAAGGCTTGGCTCTGACCGTAGCTGTGGCTGTAATGAGAGCTTTGGTCGCCTAAACCATAGGAATGCACTCCGTGACCACAATCTCCATGACCACCTACCAAGTGACCGCTGGAACCACCAAAACTACCCAAGCTGGAACTTCCCAAGCTGCCATATCCTAAATTGCTTCCACTAGAACTACTTAAAGAATTATAGCTATTGCCATAACTTCCTAAGTTATTGTAGCTTGAGCTGCCAAGACCTCCATAACCTAAAATTAATTTTTCTTTTATTTCTTTAAAAATTTTAAGTACCGAAATTGGTATTATTGGAAGCTATTTTATTTATTATAATAAACAATTTTTTATTTCTTAATATTAAATTGCTTCTCTTATTGTGACCATTGGTTTTGGGTCAACTGTTCTAGCACGTTGTTATTGATTATGAATAGTAGCGATTTGGGTAAATTGTGAAGGAGATATACTCAAAAAGAATTACAAATTATTTAAAAAAAAAAACCCAAAACTTTATAAATTGACTGATTTATATTGAGAATTATTATAGAAATACTTACCATAAGAAGATCCATAACCAGATCCATAACCGGATCCGTAACCAGATCCATAACTTCCAAGAGAGCTACTGAATGATGAAGCATCGTAGCCACCATTTGCATATTGTGGGATTTGTGCCTCATTTTGGTATCCGTTAGAGTAAGTGTGTACTACTTTTCGCTCTTTTACGTAAACAGGAGTAGGTACTTGTACTTGTTCATACTTGGTTACGTGCACAGGGTAGGGTTGTGGTACTGGGTGTGGTACTCGTACCAATTCCTACAACACCAACAATTAAATACTTTATTTAAACAGTTTATGTATTTGAGGTGTATAAACAATAAAAAAAAATGTGGTGTCTTCCTTACCTTGACGTATACTTTCTTTTCTACTGGAACAGGTATGGTTTTAGTAATATGAACTGGATATGGTTTTGGTACTTCCACGGGTACGTGAACTTTAACAGGGACTGCTACTGGTTGGGGAACTTTGACTTCGTATGGCTTAGGTACTTCGTAGGGTACGGGAACCTTGACTGGTACAGGGTATGGTCTTGGAACTTCCACGGGTACTGGTTGTGGAACCTGAACGGTTTTGGTAACGGTAACAGGGTAAGGTTGAGGAACTGGTACTGGAACTTTTTGGGTGACACGGCGAAATTCGTGTGTGCTGTGAACGTTGTGGGATACTGGAGCTGAAATTATAGAAAATTAGATCAACCATTAGATAATCAAAGAAGATAATGAATAAATATATTGTAAACATAGGAATGTAGAAAAAATTTAGTTAAATATATTACAGAAATATATATTTATTAAAGAATAAATTAGCTAATTTCTGTGAATAAAGATTACTTACCTACTGATTGTTGATATCCATAAGATAAAGAACCTGATCCTCCTAATAGACCTCCATTTAAGTTACCATTGTATCCAGAAACATCGCCACCGTATCCATAGGATCCGCTGCTGTAACTGGATAGATCACCACCGTATCCATGGGATCCGCTACTGTATCCAGATACATCGCCACCATATCCATGAGATCCGCTGCTGTATTCAGATGAATATCCACTGCTATATCCTGAAAGACCGCTACCGTACCCAGAGAGACCAGTGCTATGACTTGAGAGGTCGCCACCATAGCTGGAAAGGCTGTGACCGGAAAGATCTCCTCCGTAGCTGCTTAGGGCCGCTGTAGTGGTCAATATGACGTTTTAAGTTTTTCTTTTCATTAACTTCGACTTTCTTATCTTTAGCGTCGGCAGTACTGGCAACAGCCAAGCCTAGACAAGCTACAAACTGTAAAAAATAAAGACAAAATTAAAAATAGTTAAAATGAATGGATATTGTTTTTATATGGGTTAAAAAACCATCAAAACAATTGATAAAAATGGGGTTTATATAATGCAGACCTAAAGTAGACAAAAATTAGAGAGCTTAATACAGCTAACTTTGGGTTACCTGTGAGAGCTACATTGCATTATTAGAGTAACTTTCTCAAGAAACTGCGATCAAAAACAGATGTGACAAGATTTTCTAGATACGATTATATAAAAGATGTTTTCTCAAAAACATCTATTATATAAGTTTAACTTTGTATTGTATATTCAAAATGTATTCATTGGCAATTACAAAAAGAGTGTAATCAGTGTGTAAATTTTTTTTATAAAATTAGTTTTCTGCTAGTTTTAGTATTTGTCCTAAAGAAATGACAAAACATCTCCAAAATTGCTAAATCAATAGTTACCATCTGATAAACCATCTGTATAAAACATCTGAAAGATGCTCCGTAGAAAAGAATGTTATTTAATAGGTAAAATAGATAGAGATAAAGCCAAAAGCTATTAAACAAGACATAAATAAATGGATAGGTAAAAAATGTAAAGAAATTGAGATATTGGAGCATAGATTGGGTATGCATGCAGTGTTGCAATGCATGGTTTTGACAGTTAATCTATTATGATGTAAATTGAAGCTATATGAAGTGATAGAATTCTGCTACTTAGGGTCACTGGTGGAGGGCAAAGAAAACGCATCCAAAGAAATAAGAAAAAAATATTGTGGTTATAGCTAATTGCTGATCTTTTGGTCTAGAATCTTAACTAAATTATGTCGAGAAGTATGTTAGGAGCAACAAAGTAAAAAATTAATAAAACAATTATACGCCCAATGCTCATTTATGGATCGGAAACATAGGCAATGATGACTTAAGATGAAGAGTTACTACGAGTTTTTGAAATAAAAGAATTTAGGACCATATATGGAGAAATAGCTAACAAGCAGAATCTGTGAAAAAGGCAATATATTTTCAAACTCTATAGACTTTTTCCTGATGCACATATCGTAAAAACCATTAAAATCAACCGCCCACGGTGGGTGGGTTATGCGGATGGATAAATTTTATCCCGTTAAAATACCGTTGCTAAATAGGCCTGTCGGGAAAAAAAAGAGGCGACCTAAACTCAGATATATGATTATGGAGATCTATGGAGAAGAGAGCCACTTGACAGGAAATTATTCTTATTTAAATACTTATTATTTAAATGTCAACTGGGAATGACACTGTCTAGCAACGAAAAGCTCAAAACAAAAGTGACAGATCCAGTAAACAGAGCAAACAGAACCGCAATATGGTTGAATAAAACAAAACAAAGGAAAAAAAATATCTTAAAAAAATAAAATGCAGTGTTCGGAAAGTAGTCATCAAATCAATTATGACATACGTGGAAGAAACATGTCCCGACACAGAAAAAAACAAAAATCTGCTAAAAGTAGCAGAGATAATGAACAAGATGGTAAGACGCTATAGGAGAGAGCAAGAAGTACAAATATACAACAAAGATGCAAAGTGGAAAATACCATAATGCATAGTGGATAGAAGCGGTGGACGACCACTACTAACGGTGGAAACCATAGACTAGCGGTGGTAAATACCTACCAATTATAACCTTAAATCGGTTATTTTACTACACAAGAATCAAATTTGCCGGTTGTTTTTTCTATCCATATTATAACCGGTTTAATCTTTTTAAAGTAATACCCGGTAAAACACCGGAGTACAGATCCTCAAAAAAACAACAGTCTTGTTAATAATGATGTTAGGTGGTCGATGCCTTCGAGAAATTCATACTGCCAAACCATGAAGGAGCTCCTTGAAGATTTTGACATCCCTCTGGCTATAATTATTAGCAAGTTATTAAAAATATGCATTGTTTTACACACGTATTAAATTTAGTTGTTACAGATTATTTACAGAATGAAAACAATGTTGTATTAAAAAATTCCTGAAGTTAAAATCATCGTCACTTCAGCTAGACGGAGCAACATGTTAATGTAAAATTATATAGGTTAACTTTTTAAATAATCCATACCAACAATAAGGAAATTTCATTTACTATATGCTCCAACGGTTTGAACCAATGTCCCCTTACATAAATGGAATATTGGAAGATTCCCTTAATTAGTTTAATCACTGAGAAAGATTTCTTCTTTGGTGCAGAGATAAAATTAATCAATGAAATTGTAAGCATTTTATTGCCTTTCGATATCACAAAGGAGATCTCAGGTTCCTAATACCCTTGTACTCCTCTCTGTGTCCATCATCAAAAGTTCGTAAAAAAACTTTTTCTTGCGACATAGTGCAGCTCAAAGGCCATGCCAAAATTTGTAACCAGCCTTCAAGAGAAAGGCACCAAGTTTTTACAAATCATTCTACTGTGTAATGCTAGTCACATGCAACCAAAGTTCAAATAAATTATTAATGAATCCGTTGATAGCGGACAAAGCCACATCCAATTTAGGCGCAGAAGTCAGGAAGTAGCTTGCCGAAATTTAAAAACTTTTGCTCTTTCTAGACTAAAGAGGCTAGAGGCTTCTTTGGTCTATAACACGACTTGGAATTGGTGAATAGTAGTTTCAGTTCAAGTTCCTTGGAAATTCAGGATTTAAAATTCTTTATCAAATGAACTCACTATTTATATGCAACAGCCTTTGCTACAATCGGACTTTATTATGGCTTCAGCAGGTTGTAAAATTTTCTGGAAAAAAGTTGCTGTTTATATATCGATATCGATAATATTGATATTGATTCTAATGGACTATCGCAAACTAAGGAGCGATGCAAATATAACATTGTACAATGGGTATTGATGTAAATATCCTATTGAGTATTGATTAAAAAATCGAACACCCGTTTTTAAAATAACCGGTTTTTTGACCGGTTATAACCGCGAGGTAAAAGTAAAGTAAAGTTCGTATAACTTTCTGGCTAAGGTTCTAGTGTTAGTGGGTTTTCCGGATTTGAACCTGGACCCTCCAGCTTGTTAAGACAGTAACATAGCCACTCAGCTGCGGCTGATATAACCACCAGGTTAAACCGTAAGTAAAAAAACCGTTTATAACCGAAAACCAGTGTTTTATCAACAACCGCCATCCCTACTACCTTCAATAGAAATTAAAAACTAAATAAACTCTGGAATAGTTATGTAAAGGAAACATTGAATAATAAAAGAAACATAGTAGTATTTAAAGTAATCTGTAATACTAAACCTGCAGTTACAATAACAATAATTAGTTAAGTGAAAACAGCAATAAAAACCAGTAAATACGAGAATGCAATGGAAGCAGAAAGTTTCAGTCGGAAGCAGATAAATTTCGGAATTTTCTAAAAATTATAAACAAGAAAATATTATGGATTACATAGATATTTATTAATACATTTAATGTTAATCCCATATAAATGACATAACCTCCCCAATAGCTTTGGAGGTTAGAATATACTCTTTTTAACAAAATTCTCAAAATAATCTTTTTTGATAACGATTTCTGAAGTGGAAATCGAAACATTAACTGTTTTTGAATTGTAATTATCATTACAATTAATTGTAGCCATTTAAACACTATTTATTAAAGATATAATTCAAAATTTAAATTTTAAAAATAGTAAACCTATAAAACTGTTACTTTTTATTAGGAATTTTAAGAATAATAGTAAATATAATCTAAAATTAGTACAGTTGAATAAATTTTAATAAATTCAACTGGATAAACAGCTATATCTGTGTGATATACCTCTTGAAATCTTCTTACATTCAAGCAGAAATTGCGCTAAAAATATATCTTCCTTTAAGCTACTAGATACTTCACAAACAAATTTATATCCTGACAAAGTGCAAAGAAAAAATAAAGACTTGGATCGTGATGCATCGCAAATTTTCCACTATCTCGGAAAACGCCGCTATTTCGCTTTTCAATTTTTACGAAGGACGAATTCTTTTAAAAATATTTTCTTAAAGCGGTTTTTGAAATTATTTGCAACATAAAAGGTTGTAATATTAACGGTTTTTTTATGTAATGTATGCAAAATTGCTTAAGACATTTTCTATTAAGGATAATTTTTGATGAAAAACAAAATAAGCATAAAAAAAAAAAATTAAGTAGAGGCTAATATTTTGCTTAAAAAAGAGGTTCAAAGATCATAACCCACTTTATATAGAATGATCATCAGTAAATAAACAACCAGCAGTGAATAAGAAATTATTGGCGTCAAAATTGAACAAATAACGTATGTCCTTAAAGTTTTTCGGAAAATTTTAGATTTAAAGTATTATTGGATTGGTAGGAAGCATTGGATCATTGCCATTAGAACACAAAGTTACTAAACAACTTAAACGATATGTTTGCGAAATGTTGTCCGAAGATATAATGTTTCACGAATGACTGTAAGTAGAACAAATTTAAAACGATATAAAAGAAAAAAAAGCTAAAGTAAAAACTAGCCCAGTTAGAAAAAATTCCTATATGTTGCCGTGCATTGAGATGAATTCATTTTCTTGGTAAAATTCTCATTATTGACGATTCAAAGTATTTCCCTTTATCCAATTTCGAAATGAAGGGCAACGACGGATTTTTATACAACACAATGTACAAGATAACACCGACGAAGTTAGGTTTAAGGGAAACGTGAAATTTGACGATAACATTTGACGATGGTATGGTGTGCCATCTGAAAATCTGGTGTTTCACAGCTGTTTGTTGGGCGTGTTGGCGGTGATGCTCTCAATGCTGTCAATTACACTGACAGGTGTCTTACGTAGCTTGCTCAATTTATAAGTACTCATTACCCCAATAATGAAATCATATTTTGGCCCGGCCTAGTTTTACCCCTGGTTAACTTCTCAGAATATAAATTTTATTCTCAAGTGTGACAACCCTCCAAATGTGCCTCAGGCCAGGTCTATAAAAGAGTTTTGAGCTGCTTAACCTCAAATGGTGTGTAATAATGACGAGAAGCCCTAAACTAAGGTAAGCTAAGGCAAAGAATTTTGCAAAAGTTTCGTGAGATCCACTTAGAAACTATCCAATGGATTATTGCACATGCAAGACCAAATTTACGTGCCATCAAAGATTACGACCTCTTTCTGTTCTATAAAAATCCATTTTAAATCTTAAATATGTAGACTTAATAATTTCTCTATTATAAACTCTATAAAATAATACTCTATAAAATAAACTTAATTTACAATAAGACAATACATATTTATTTTTTCCGAACATTTTTTGGGAACAAGCGTTAGTTCAAAATATCTTAAGATTACACTGCACTGTCTAGATTTTGAAATAGGGAGGGGAAAGTAATAGATCGAGTAAAAAAGCAACTAGACTGACCAAAAACTAAGAAAAAATGTAGCGTATAGAGTACAAACGAGTGGACACCAAACACAGAAAAAGAATAAAATAATTAATTAAGTACAGTGAAGGAGAGCAGAATTGTCAAAATAGCAAGACAATATATGACCAAATAGTTTAAAGCATTTTTTGATCGACCAAGCAAAAGATAAAGCTAAAACCTTCCATTGAGATACCAATTAGCCAATGAACAAGCAAAGTTTCTTATAAAGAGAAAGCCAAAAAAAAGAATAGATAAAGTAAAGAATAGGATAGTAAAGTTCGTGTAACCTTCTGGCCAATGGTGTCAGGGTTTTTAGGTCGCGTAAGCGCCCCTAACATGACTTAACGACTACTTTGTAGCCAGGACTGACGGCTTTACGTGCCTTCCGTAGCACGGTGGCAGCTCAGTTAAATTAGAAATTGAAAATTTTTGTCGGTGTCGGGATTCGAACCCAGGTCCTCCAACTTGTTAAGCCAGTAATATAGTCACTGTGAGCTACGGCTGATATTAACAGTAATAGATGGGAACTACGGGACGCCCTCTTTGCACTAAATGTATTACTGCAGAAATGTCGAGATCAAAGGAAAGACGTCTTTGCTGTATCTATATTGACCATGAAAAGGCCTTTGATCGAGTACAACATCACAAATTAATTGCAATATTAAAAGATAAAGGATTTGATAGTCAAGACATATGATTCATAGAAAAGTTATACTGGCATCAAAACAGCGACAGCTTGCATAAACGGAAAATCAACAGAAATATGTAAAAATACAAAGAAGTGTCAGACAGGGCTGTATACTATCCCCACTGTTATTTAATTTATATTCAGATAGAATATTTAAAGAAGCGCTGCATAATTTGGAATGGGGCGTGAAAGTTAATGGAATTCTGATAAATACAATCAGATATGCAGACGACACAGTTATTTTAAGTGATGACATGAATGGACTACAATGCCTTTTAAATGCCATTGATACAGTGGGAAGAGAGTTTGGTCTAAACATAAACTGTGCAAAAACAAAACACATGATGTTTAGCCGTTTAGCACATCAAGATGCTCGATTATATGTTGATGGTCATATAATTCAAAGAGTGTCCAGATTTAAATATCTTGGTTGCCATATTACTGAACAACTAGATCCAGATCAAGAGATGAAATGTAGAATCGAGATAGCCCGTACGACATTTTTAAAAATGAGGTCATTCTTCTGTAATGATAACTTGCAACTTCAACTTTGAAAGAGCATGGTTAAATGCTACATTTGATCAGTCCTCTTGTACATACTCAGTACATACGGTTGTCGAAGCATACACATTAAAATATCCACCATTAATCGTCTGAAGGCCTTTGAAATGTGGCTGCACATACTTATACTAAAAATTCCATGAAAGGCTATGCTGACAAATGTGGCAGTCCTTGAGAGAGCGATCTGCTTGATAACATCAAATGTAGAAAGATGGCCTATTTTGGACACGTAGTAAGGGGAGACTGATATAAAATTCTTCAACTTATTATCATGGGTAAAATCGAAGGACGAAGAGGAATTGGTAGAAAGCAGGCCTCTTGGTTGAAGAATATCAGGGAGTGGACAGGAATAAAGAAAACTGAGCAACTATTTAGAATAGCTCGAGACAGAGACAGTTTCGCCATGTTAATCGCCAACGTCAAGGGGACTCGATAGGGCACGTTAAGAAGAAGAAGAAGATGGGTTAAGAAAAACATCGCTTGAATCTTCTAATTTAAAAGAAGTAGAAGCTGCGAGAGAAAAAAGAAGATGATTAGTTGGTACTATGATAAAATAAATGAACATGCGGGAAAACTCAGACGTAAAAAAAATAAACTGAAGAGGTTTATAAACACAGACTGAGGAAATCACTTAATAAAGTAAAAAGAAGATTTGAATCAGCATTAAGAACTAGTTCTAATAGCTAATACAAATCTAAAGTTTAAAATATTTTCTAAAACTTCATAAAAAGTCAGTCCAAATAAGGAGTTTAAACAGATTTGCTTGGATACCATTCAGAGAAGTATTTTTTGAAAGTTATCCAGATAAAATTCAGAATTAAGAGATTTAAAAAAAACAAAAGATATTTACAATACGTTAAACCGAGAATATTTAACTAATTTATACTCACTCTATTCACTTATTATTCGCAATTATGCATCAATATCAAGGTAAACATTATTAAAATAGCAAATTTTCAGAGACCAATTAGGAATTTAGATTTATATTTAGATTTGCAAAATTTGCATATAAAACTGAGTGATCAAAAAGTACCTGATGTAATAGTAAAAGTTACTAAATTCAGAGTAAATGAATAATTTTACTATTAGACAAAATGATTAAAGTTGCAATAAATAGATAATATTGCATTTACATCTCTGTACATTGGAAGAGATGTATTGACGATTTGTAAAAACGCTGGAAGAAATAACTACACCAGATAAAAACCAGTGGGAAAGAAAAGGGGAGTTCCAGATCCAATAATTGAATGTAATAGAGTACTATAATTTCATTAGATACCATTGAAAATGAAAAATATTGTTATTTTCTGTCTTTAGAGAAAACAAAGAAAATATTATTTCTACAAATAATTAAAAACAAAGAATGAAATGACAAAAATTTAAACGTAGCCTTTTATAAAACAAAAAATCAAAGTAAAGTGGAAAATAATTATTATTAATGTTAATTTAAATAATAACACGGAAAAATAAAAAAAAAGTTGACGGAAAGTGTGAATAATTACGATAACAAATAGAGCAGAAAATAATACTGTTACAATACAAAGAGAAATTATAAGGTACAAAATACAGGCAATGTACATGGAATCAATTTAGAATGATGGACAAAAATTTAGTACAAACAATTGATTCTTTTACAAATATTTTAATACTGATTACACTTATGTAAATAAATATTATACTTTATTATTTTGCGAATCACATTAGCGGTAGTTAAACCTCTAATTTTAACACTTATATTTGCGAATTTTAAAAACTTCAACGATTGCAAAGCAAACTCACTTTCCTGATCTGCTTATAAAACCTAATTGTCTTATATTGATTTAGAATTACACTTTTCAAACTTACCACCAAAAACGCCTTCATGTTTCTGCCTTCTCAACCACTGGATGATTCGACCCAACCATGAATGTAACTTGCTATTTATATATAGTATAAAATTCAGAAATATTTCGCTACCAAGGCCGGTCGCTGCCGGGTCAAGTTCGGGTTCCTTTAAGACCATTTTTTCTAATTTCCATATATCAAGGCGCTATAATTATATGGTAAATCCTAATGTTTAGATACACAATTTATTATGTTTTTTGAATTTTTAATTGTTGGTAAAGCTTTTTTTTGTTATGTCATTATCTATATCCGTTATATTATGCTCTTGTAAATGCCAAATATCTAAAAAGCTGTAATATGTTATAAATTCCATTAAAGTTATTCACAAAATCTTAAAAGGAAGCTATAATAATACTATTAAAAATCCAATAAAGATAAAAATGTAAATCTTTAAATACATTTCCTTTTTAAAATCTATGCTCTGCTACTGTAATGATTTATTTTGTATTATATTTTTCTACACTTTTCCTATTTACTGTAAGTTCTTTCTGTAATACTGTAATGTTTTGTTCATAATATTTAAAATTTATTTATATATGTTTCTTAAATATATTTGTATATGTTTTAAAAACTAACAAATAATATTGTACATGCGTAAAAGAGGCTGATTTTAATGTAAAATTGCTATTCAATGTCTGCAGATAATGCGGTGTTTTGAAAAAACTCTTCAAAAATGTTCGAAAAAAGTGAAAACTGAAATATTTTTAAAAAATTTTATCTAAAAATCCTTTATAAAAGGTCTATAATTCAAACCACTAAATATTTGGGTTAATATCCTTAAATTGGTACAAAATTTGTTATATATTATTGTTTGTTGAAAAGATGGTGTATGGCATTGTAAAACTTCCAATAGGGGTTGCTGCTGACCATGAGACAATGTCTGAATTATGTTATAGAGCGCAACTCAGTGGCCATCTAGAACTCATTTAGGTATTGTGTTAGGGTCAGCAGCAACCCCTTTTAAGAGTCAGTTGCCATCTAGAACCCATTCTGGCATTGGTCTTAGGATCATCGACCACTATTGGGAGTCTTAGATTGCCATGCAGGTTATCTGTTAAAAACTTTAACAAACACACTACTTTTTCAACAAAAACGTAACACATGTACTATTTTAAGGGTTTTTCCAAATATTTAGTGGCTTGACTTATGAAACTCCTAATAATACACTGACGATGAACTTTTTAATCTTTTATAAAGGATTTTTAAATAAAACTTTTGTAATTTATGGTATACAGCTAACAACATTAATTTCATTTTTTGTGTGGACTTCTAAAGTTGATTTGGGGTCAAAATAAAAAAACATTAAGATGTCTAGAATTGTATAGAATAAAGGAAAATAGATGTGCAGAAGCAATAGAGCTGAATAAGAATGAGGATATATATATTTATATATAAATATATATATATATATATATAAAGACTGTCAAAGATAAGTAAGGCAGGAAGGCCAAAAACGAAGGAAAAAGGAAATAGTTAAAAGAGACATGGTTTTAAATGTATAATAGGAAATAAACGTGTATATTAAAGAATGTATAATAGGAAAACTGTACTTAGGTAGTACCACTCTAACGGTTTTCTCCCTAAGATACTCCATTAGACTAAAATTTTATGCTTCTTAAATATTAACACAATCGTAAAAAACATAATATCATTGAAAAGGTAAATCCTGCCTATGAAAAACATAAAAAATCTAATGAATTAGACATGTATCCAAATAAGTTTACTAAGTTTATCTTTATAGTATTTTCAAAGACACCAATAAACGTACATGTGTATGCCAATGGTCAAATAATATAATATACCAGGTAAATTTCATAAAATATTTTGGGAGTAAATATCAGTAGTCAGTGTAATCTTAAAAAGAAATCCTATCAAGAATCGAACAAGTATGAAAAACATTCATGAGCGTGAAAACATTTTTTACAAGATCAGACCTTAGTCTGCAGCTTAGAATCCGAATGATCAGATGTTACGTTTTTTCTGTCTTACTATACGACTGTGAAAGTTGGACAATGGACTCTGAAATAAAAAAAAGAATAGATGCATTTGAGATGTATATATACAGACAAATGTTGAGAATTCCATGGGTACAAAGAATTACTAAGAATAATCAAAGAGATGAAAATGCAATACTTGGGTTATGTGTTGAGAGGCGAAAGACATGAATTACTTCAAGTTATACTAGAAAGGAAACGTACAGGCCAAAAGATCAGTAGGAAGACGTCAGAACTCATGGCTGAAAGACCTGAGGAAATGGTTCGACCGCTCATTCGCAAAAATCTTTCGCGCAGCAGTTTCCAAAACTACAATTGACATTTGGATCGTCAACCTTCGAAAGGAGATGGAGCCATGAGAAAAAGGCAGTTACCAGATAATTTTTTTCCAAAGTTATTTTCATTTCACATTATATATAGCTAAACAATAATAAATGTTAACTTAATGATTTTTGGGTTTCCGTATAGTCAGTTTTTTTGTCCACATCCTTTGAAAAAAATTTATAAATTAGTGATATTTTGAGCTGGATTTGAGGTGGATAATGATGATGATGATGATGAACTTAATGATTAACAATGCAAATTAGATATTCAACTAGTAAAGAATAATAAATAAATATAATATAGATAAATATAAAATACAATTATAGTTATTTCTTACTAAAAATCGCAGATAAGGTGACTGAAACTATTTTTAATTTATAATCTAGATTTATGTGGGTTTTTATTAGGTTTTAGAGCTTGCCGTTGAGCTTTTGGATCAATGCTTTTTTCATGCAGATACTTCAACGTCTTTTGTTGCACAGTCCAGTCTGATTCGCTGAGCTTTTTCGATCCCTAATCAATTTAAATCCTGGCCTATTTATCCTATATCCTAGTCTATTTTCATCTTTTAGAAGTAACGGAACTAATACTAGCAGTCAATAAAACATACTGGAGATATCATAGCTTATGAAGAACAAGAAATTATCCAGAAATACAAAAACTGAAAAATACTACAGAGTTGCAATTAGACCAGTAGTTACGTACGCAGCTGAGACAATGTGCCTTACAGAAAAAATAAAGAAAAATTGACAATTTTCGAAAGAAAAATCCTCAGACGGATTATAAGCCCGATAAGAATGGACAACGGAGAAATGAGAAGAAGAATGAACCATGAACTAAGAGACATAACGAAGGGAGAAGATATAGTTAGATTTATTAAAGCACAGAGGCTGAAATTGCTGGGACACACAGAGAAAAAAAATGACCTACTGATTAAGAAATCACAGATGGAAACCAGCAACTAAACGACCAAGAGAAAGACTCAGCGAGATATGGGAGGACCAGGTCATGAGAGATATCCAAATTTTGGATGTGAGAAACTGGAGGAAACTATGCACATATCGAAATAAGTTGAAGAAAATTGTAACGAAAGCTAAGTCATACAACAAACTTTGACAACATACAAGTGGAATGTGGAATGATTCACCGCAATAAGCGAACCAGAGAGCTCTAAGTAAGAGCGGAAAACATTCCACCCGGAATAAGAAACCCTGTGATGATGATTTTCATCTTTGCAATTATAATCTTTAACGGGATTATGTTTCATAGTTTCCAATGACGGATACTATTTTATTTGTTTGTTTGTGATCCATTCTTATCACAAGAAAAATTTGGGAATTAATGCTTATTCCCAGCAGAGATCCATATGCAGAGAAAGCTGATATAACTTGAGTCTTGACTTGATGCCAATTGATGAGCTAACAAATTGTTTAATATAGTATGTATTTAATGTATCTAGTCTGTTATATTTGATAACACAGCAGATGGTTATATTTATAACACATAATAACACATAAAAATAATATACCTTCATCTATGTTGTATAATCACATATTACAGTGTAATGCTGGCTAGCAAAATACCGAAATCATTCAAAAATATTTGAGTGGCTTAAAACATTCCTCTAACTTTGTAAAACGAATTTTTTTTTTTTAATGTATAGAAAGTGCTTAACAAAAAAGCTTTGGATAAATTAAAATTTGTTTTATTTAAATATTATATACAATTTAACCATTTTTTGTAACCGCCTAAATCTCTGGAAATTTATGCTTCAAAAAGATTTCTGGATTCATCATAATACGTGGCTATGGACGTGGTGTTCTAAACCAGAACCTCCCAAAATGCCTACTCCTGAGCTCCCTAAACTGCTGTATCCAGAATGTAATAAACCGTGTACTCCATAACCGTAACCTCCCAAAATGCCTCCTCCTGCGCCTCCTAAACTGTTGTATCCAGAAGGTAATAGACCGTTTACGCCAGAACCAGAACCTCCCAAAATGCCTACTCCTGCGCTCCCTAAACTGTTGTATCCAGAAGCTGATAAACCGTCGATGCCGACGCCATAGGCGGCGCTTCCTAAGAGACTGGAGCCTGAGCCGCCAAGACCTCCAAAACCTAAAATTAAATAAATTTGTAAATTTACTGAAGAATTCTTGTTATATTATATTATGAAAACATAAAAATTACGTACTAAATTAAATTAATGTTGTTGCTTATTCCCAATAACAATGGTAATTGCATTAAGATGCCATAAGAAACTACCTTCAGAACAAAATTATACACTTTATCTTTAATAATGTTAATTTCATACTAGATTTACAAAATTCAATTTATGAACACAAAGCTAGATGATCTAATAAATATACGCATTAATGGCTAGTTAAATCATGCAATGCTACGATTATAAAATCAATCTTATCAACTCATAGAACTGGCAAGTTTTATAAAAGGCTACGGAATAAACGACCACCTATTGGAAATAAAAAATCTTATAGAAAAAAGCACTGAATATAATAAACAACTAGCTTTAATCTTTGTGGATTACAAAAATACCTTTGACATCATAAATTAACAAACAATGGTGGAAACCTTGTCAAAGGTGGTTGATTGTCACAGTCAGAAATTCCGGATACAACGTGGAGTACGTCAGGGGGACACCCGTACTAACTAAACTGTTGATTATGCCTTGAACATATGTACCTATATGTAAAATAGCAATAGTGACCTACAAGGGCCTAAACATAAACAGAGAAAAGATTAGCCACCTGAGGTTTGCAGATGATAGTGTGCTAAAAGCTGATAGAACAGATTTTTAAATCAGCTCTACCTTTCTCTCGCTAAAATGGGGATTGGAAATAAATATATTTAAAACCCAGATGATGACAAATCTTCTTATCAACTAAATATATGCGGAACAAGATATATAGACAACAATCAAACTTGCGAACTACGAAAAAGGATAAACCTAGCATGAGCAGCCTATAGAAAATTCAAAGACATATTTAAAAGCGATATAACAATTTCTTTAAAATGTTAAATAGTTGACCAATGTTTTACATTTTAAATGTGTTGTCTGTGATGACCTATGGTGCCGAAATTTTGACATTGACAGCTACAATTTCCAAAAAGGCTACAAATAGCTCCGAGGAAAATGGAAAGGTCAATGCTAAATATATCACTTCGTGACATCTCTCTCTCTCTCTCTTCAATCATTACCCCCCAGGGGGAGTGTAGTGGTCGACGTGATGTCGTGTATTGTACGTCTCCAGAGATATCTGTCTCTGGTCATTTCTTTTAATTCATGCATAGGTCTTTGGCATATTCCTGTAATTTGATCTATCCATCTTGTTGGGATCTTCCTCGTGATCTTCGGCCTTCTACCTTTCCTTGTATTATGAGTCTTTCCATGTTTTCTGTGTTTGCTCTCATAACATGCCCAAAATATTTTAATTGTTGGAGTTGGACTTTACTAGAGAGTCGTTGGCTAACTTTTAGCTCTCTTAAAATTGAATTATTTGTTCTACGGTCGCTCCAAGGAATTCGTAACATTCGTCTCCAACAGAACATTTCAGTGGCGTCTATCTTTCTTCTCTCCGATTGTCTCAGAGTCCAAGATTCACATCCGTAGGTCAGTATTGGGAATATTAAGCAGTTGATCAACCTCATCTTTATCGCTCTTGAAATTTGACAGTCCTTCCATATTTTGGCCATTTTTGTTGTGGCAACTTTTGCTAGATCACATCTACGTTTAATCTCTTCTTGTAATGACCCTGTGTTTGTGATTAATGATCCCAGATATAAGTATGAGCTCACAACCTCGAACCGGTCAATTGTGGTTATGTGTGGATGATTGTTCTGTAGTCTATCCACTATCATGATCTTTGTCTTTGATATGTTTAATTGCAGACCAAATATTTGACTTTCGTTTTCGATCAGTCGTATAAGTTTCATCAGCTCTGCTTGACTATTTGCAAGAAGGGCTGTGTCATCTGCGAAACGTAGGTTGTTTAGTTTATGACCATTTATTGAGATGCCCTTTTCCCATCCTTCAAGTGCTCTTCGCATAATATACTCCCCATATATGTTGAATAATTGTGGAGATAGTATACATCTTTGTCTGACACCCCGTTCTAGATGAAACTCGTTCGAAAGTGTGTCAAGTACTTTAACTGATCCAGTAGTGTGTTCATATAGTTTAGTTATAAGTGTAATTAGATGTTGTGTACGCCTACTTCTTTTAGTATTCGCCATAAGTGTCTCCACTTGACCCTGTCGAACGCTTTACGGTAATCTATAAAACAGATGTATAGTGGGATGTTGAATTCCCTAGATTTCTCGATTACTGTCTTATATTCAGCAGGTGTTCTCGAGTGCCTCTACCTTTGGTAAATTCAGTTTGCTCTTTGGAATTTCTCTTTGAAGGCATGTTTTCAGTCTCTCATTGATTATATGTAGCATTATCTTGCTGGCATGGGATATAAGAGATATAGTTCTATAATTGTCGCATTTATGGAAGCTGCCTTTTTTATGTATGGTCGTTATTGTGGCATATAGTGCAACGTGACATACTTAAGTTAAAAATGAAGACTTAAGACGAAGAACAGAAGTTAACTATGTAATTTCCCGAATTACCACACTGAAATGGAGCAGGGCCGTACACGTCGCTCGAATCAATGATGAAAGGTGGACGAAGAGATTGCTTGAGCGGAGGCCGAGGTTAGACAAAAGAAGTAGAGGAAGACCCCCTACTCGTTGGACTGACGATCTCAATAAAATGTCAAGAAACTTGATGAAAAGTACTTAAGATAGAGCACAATGGACAAAAATGAGGGAGGCCTATGTCCAGCAGTGGACGCAAAGGGCTTGGTGATATGACGATGATGATAAGACTAAAAATGTAATAAAATATAATCTAGCCTAAAAAGTTACTGAAACTCATGGCACGTTGATTATTTACTTCTCTAGTACCGCTCTTTCGGATTTTTTAATTTTAATTGAAAACTTGACTCATAATTGATATTGACATTGATACCCCGTTCTGTATCTTGTTTTAAACACTTCATATTAACATAACGATATAAATATTTATAATAAAGAAATAAATCATATATTTTATTTACATTTCTAAGAGCTTTACTACCATTATTCATTTAGATATATATTATTATATCATACCATTTTATTTATATAGAAAAAAAATTTAGCAAATGCCAAACTATTTTAAAGTAAATTTGAAAATGCGTTTAATATATTTGTAAAATTTTAGAATTGCATTAGTAATTAAATGAAAGTATTTACCATAACCGGCTCCATAGCCTCCAAGTGAGTTGCCGTAGGATAAACCGCCATAACCTGCATTTACATGCTTTGGAATTTGAGGAGCTACGTCAGGTTTAAGTCTGATTTGCTTTCCAGGTAAAGGTTGGAACGACTTAGAGTAAGTGTGTAATACTTTACGGTCTTTTACGTAGACAGGAGTAGGTATCTTTACTTGTTCATATTTGGTTACTGGTACAGGGTAGGGTTGTGGTACTGGTTGTGGTACTTTTACCAATTGCTAAAACAACACAACAAAAATTATATCGTTTTCTAAATAATAGATATATCCATATGGAAATTCAAAAAAAGATAATTTTTGTCTTCCTTACCTTAACAAATACTTTTCTTTCTACTGGCACGGGTACGGGTTTGGTAATCTGAACTGGATATGGTCTTGGCACTACCACAGGTACGGCAACTTTAACAGGGACTGCTACTGGTTGGGGAACTCTGACCTGGTATGGCTTGGGTACTTCGTATGGTACCGGAACTTTGACGGGAACAGGGTATGGTTTTGGAACTGACACTGGTACGGGTTGTGGAACCGAAACGGTTTTGGTAACGGTAACAGGGTAAGGTTGAGGGACTGGTACCGGTACTTTCTGAGTAATGCGGCGAACTTCGTGACTATTTTGAAGATTGCGCACTAGTGGACCTGAAATTACACAAAATTTAACGGAGATAGTAGTCAATAGATAATAAGGACATAGGTAATAGGATAGGTAATAACCAAAAGAAGATAGATCTATGAAAATAAGGAGTAATATACATTAAAATAATAATTTAGAAAACACGAAAATTAGGTTAATGTAGCCATATTAGTGAACCATAATGGATGACAGATGACATCTTGCAATTAATGGAACATCGTCGACTGATAAAACTAATAAACATAGTGTAATCACCTGCAGAGCAGAATAAAAAAGGATATTAAATTAGCCAAAGAAAAATGGATGAGAGAAAGGTGCGACGAAATGGAGAATGTAATGTGAGTAATATATTTAACATATTTAAAAAAAAGCTCCCTTTGTACTCGTTGACAATAATAACAAAATTATTATAAAAGAGCGCGAAATAAGAAAAGAATGGCAGCTGTATATATGGAGTTGTTTGAAGATGACAGGAACAATATTGCCGAATTCTACCAAAACTCTACTGACGGCCTAGAAATTATGAAATGTGAGTAGAACACGCTATGAATAATGCTAAAATTTGAAAAGCTTGTGGTCCTGATGAGATACACCAACTGAGTTGCTGAAACTAAAAAATGATAACATAAAAGTAGTAGTAAGACTTTTTAATTTCAATATATAACACCGGAGTGATTTCTACAGATTGGCTCAAATTCATCTTTGTCACAATACCTAAAAAACACAATGCAAAAAAAATGCTCATAATATCGATTAATTAGCCAATAAGCCACAGTCTTAAAATTTTCTAAGAATATTTCACAACAGAATTAGACGCAAAGCGAAGAAGATCTTGAAGACACCCAATTTGGTTTTAGAAATGCTATGGGAACCAGGGAGGCACTTTTTGCGCTTAACATTCTATCACAAAAATGCGCGTGACCAAAGAAAATATGTATTTGCATGTTTTCGTGGACTTAGAAAAGGCATTCGATCAAGTATACCATGTAAAATTGATGCAAATACTGAAAAATATCGGAATAGATGTCAAGGATATTAGTGTCATTAAAAATTTATACTGAAATCAAACTGCTATCGTAAAAATTGGAGATACCTACTCCGATGAAATCTCCTTACAACGAGGAGTCAGACACAGTTGCATTTTGTCGCCAACATTATTCAATGTTTACTCGGATCAGTTTTTTAAAAAGGCACTTGAGAGACAACCATATGGAAGAAAAATCAACGGGGAACTACTTAGTGTGATTAGATATGCAGACGACACAGTAATTCCATTAGATAATATTGAAGGTCTCCAAATTCTGCTTGATCGTATTCACGAGGTAGGAGAGGAAATGGGCATTAAAATAAACTCAACAAACCAAATTTTTAGTGTTTAGTCGTGACCCACATCCAATGCAAAGCTTCAATTAAACGGAGTCCAAGTTGAGAAAGTTCACAAAATGACATATTTGGGAACTGTGATAATGGACCAACTAGATCCAGACATAGAAATAAAACGTAATAGCAATGACTAAAACTACTTTAATGAAAATGAAGTCATTTGGTCCGTACTTTTGTATAGTGAAGAAGTGTGGACGCTAAAGTAAATAGAGGGTCGTAGAGGTGTAGGAAAAAAAAACAAGTTTCTTGGTTAAACAACATTCGTGAATGAAGTCAAATATCAAATGCTCGACAATTATTCCATATTGCAGAAGATCGAGAGACCTTTGCAATAGTGATCGCCAACGTCGGATACTTCTGACATGGCACGCGAAGAAGAAAAAGATTATTGAGCCAATAAATAATAATCTTAGAACTTGAAAACCAAACTACAAGTGTAGTGCTTAAAGTCAATTATATTAAAATCAAGACGTTAGGACATAGAAAAAATAACTCCACATATAATAAAGTTGGTACTATTATATTATAAAATAGGTAAATAAGTATATATGTATATATTATAACGTTAATCAAAATGTGTAATAAAAATACGACAGAAATAAAATTAAGAACACTTTCTTGCTTGAACGCGTTTATACGTGAATATAGCAAAAGAGTAAAATGTGGAAAAAATTGTGGTAGTTAGCTATATTATTAATATTTGACTGGACAAATGAAGCTAGTATAGGTAGAAATTTATTTCATAAATATCAATTTGCGAAAAACTACTTACCTCCAGACTGATACCCATATCCTGCTCCTCCCAGTAGGCCTCCATTTAAGCCGCTGCTGTATCCCGAAATACCGCCATCGAATCCAGAAACTCCGCCAAGGAATCCCGAAGCACCACTGCCGTATCCAGAAAGACCACTACCGCCAGAGAGACTACCAATACCTGAGATGCCACTGCCGATACCTGAGATGCCGCCGGCGATACCTGAGATGCCGCCGTTAATACCTGAGATACCGCCGCCAATACCTGAGATGCCGCCGCCGATACCTGAGATTCCGCTGTCAATACCTGAGATACCGCCGCCGATACCTGATATACCGCTGCCGTAACTTGAGATGCCACCACTGAAGCCTAAAAGGCTGTGTTCTGAAAGATCTCCTCCTATGCTATGGTGGTCAAGGTGTCGTTTTAAATTTTTCTTGTCATTGACTTCGACTTTCTCGTTTTTAGTGTCGGTAGTGCTGGCGACAGCCAAGCTCAAGGAGACTACAAACTGAAAAAGAGCAAAACAAAAATTTAAAAGAGTAAATAAAAGAACAATGTAAAGCATCTAGCGGATTGGGATATGTAGGTCACAAAAAATTATAAAATATGACCCAAAAATGGAAACCATAGTCTAAGGAAATGTTGTGCATGTGCAATAGTTGTTTATGCACCTAATGAAGACGAGGCAGTGGACAAAAAAGACAACTTTTAAAAGAAGTAAACGGAAATAATAGATGAAAGTAAAAAATACTTTTATGAACTGGGTGATTTAATATTAGACAAGATATACGATACAGCTACAAAGCTTTTACAGCATATATAAACTAATAGAAAATATAAGTACAATATTACAAAAACGAATACATTTTATACACAAAAGTAAAGTTAAATTTAGAAGAAAAGCGAAATCAATAATTAATTAAGTATATTTTAATTCAGAAAAATATGGGAAGATAGTCCCATACTAGATTTGGAAGGGGCGAGAAATCAATAAAATATCAAGAAATCAAAAATGTAAGAGTTTTTTTTAAGTAAAGATGTAAAATAATTGTGTATATACTAAAAAAAAGTACATGGAGTACGTAAAACAACAAATAATAAGAAGCGAACTGCCAGTGGTGTAAACACATCAAGGAAGTTAAAATTGAGCAAAAATTCTGTAAAAGCACTTTAAAATAACACAAAATAACTGCTAACAATAGAACCAAACAAAAAATGGTACAGTATGCAGTGCAGTTGATTAGCGCGGAGCTTATACTGTGTTTTCTCTATTTTTAAAATTAAAATATAATTTTTAAAATTGAGTAAAGTAATTTAATTTATGTTTTATTAGTTTTTTATTTATATTTTAAATCAATTATATTATATTAAAATAATTCAATAAATTATTTTGCCCTAACGAAATCTGCTAGCGTATTAACAAAGCATACGTTCTATACTTCTGGTAGACCCGTAAAATTCAAATGAAATAATAAATTGATAATTTAAATATAAATAAACATCATTAGATAGTAAATTTAATTATGATATAAACTAAATAAGATGTTTAAAAATAATAATTTCATTTATATGAAATTATTTTTAAACGTACGACACTGTCATAATATAAGGCAGTCTCCAAAGCGTTAAAGAATTACAAAATTGGGTAAAAACAACAGAAAAAAATTAATGTTTTTAAGACAAAATTTTTCATATTCATTCGCCAACTGCACCTCAATGCTCTCTTACAGGTAAATCAACAGAATACAGAGATATTTATTCACTTTCTAGTATTCTATAACGTTTCTAGGATTACAAAATATCCAGATCCAAGTGTGCAGAATTAAAGCAGCTCACGCAACTTTCTGAAATTGAATTAATTCTTCTGGAAACACAACTATATATAATAGAATAGACGAGTCTTCTACAGCTGCTGGCAATGATCACATCCCAACTTTCAGTGATTTCTGTCGAAGCAATCTTCAATTTTAAAATATCTTTGATAATAATTGCATCTTTGACAACTTCTCTCCATGACTGTTTATATTTCCCATGTTTTCTTCTAGTGCACGGAGTCCATTTCTCTCCTAAGGTCTACGTTTCCTACCCTATCAAGTCTAGATAGTCTAGTCTAGTCAGTTACTCCCTGCTTTTGACGTTATTTGGACTTCTAAGTAATTAAAAGTTTCAGTTGATTTTAGAGTTCTTATTTGAGTTTGTGAGCTTCCTGGTTTTTTTTTTCTACAACTAAGTACTCGGTTTTTTATATTTTTATTGTAAGGACCTATTTGATGTACACCTCTTCAGTTCTCTAACCATATAATCTTCAGCTAGAATAGCTTGGTCGTCAGAGAAGTGTATCCTGTACAATGTCTCGATTTGATTGGAATTCTTATATTGCGGCATTTTCTTCTTTACACCAAGAGAGCCTTATTGAGATATATTTTGAAGAGTATAGGTGCTATGCAGCAGCCTGGCTTTAGACCCTTACTAATAGGAATTACTCTAGTTAATTTGTTTCCACTTGTAATGTTTACCATCATATTTTTGTATTTTTGTAAAGCTATTGTACAGATTTTATATATTTTTTGTATTTATTTCTTAGGGTACACTATCGATATGCCTTTGTTAGATCCGTAAATACTACATGAGTTAAAAGGTTGTGGGCTAGTCTTTTCACAATAACCTGCTTTAGAGAAATTATACTGTCTATAAAGGATCTCCCTGCATAAAAGCCATTTTCTTTCTATCTTCTTTTTGTAGTTGTTGATAATATGTGCTTTTGTAATAAGGCGAAAACATACTCCATTATCTGCGGTAATACTTGTGGGTTGTTTTTTATTAATTCGTTCGATATACCTTGTGGTCCTACTCACTTCTTTTCTGTTTGTTTTGAGGTTTTTTACTGTTTTCATGCTTTTCTTAATCTTGAGGCTATATATTTTTTAATCTACCACGATTCGTGATCAAATGTTATATTTGATAATATTATATATCAAATATAATATATAATATATAATATATAATATATAATATATAATATATAATATATAATATATAATAATAAATATATAATATATTAATATATAATATATAATATTATAATATATAATATATAATATATAATATATAATATATAATATATAATATATAATATATAATATATAATATATATATATATAATATATATATAATATATAATATATAATATTATAATATTATAACATTATATTTATATTGATTTTGTTGTTACATGGTACTAATATCTGGATTCTAAAGGCTAATACAATTAATTACTGCAAGGGATTTAAGATAAGGACACTTAGAGGAATGCAAACCTTGTTATATAAAGCAAATGCCGTTAGTAAATTCTTTAAAACTGATACAATAAGAAAGATTTTATACCTAGGGCATGTTCTTAGAGGAGACCAGTAGAGAATCCTTTAGCTTATCACAAAAGGTAAAATTAAAGGCCGCAGAGGAATTGAAAGAGAGCAGAACGCAAAAAGTCATGAGTCACCTTAATACCATTCGTCATTTTGACATAAATATACAAGTTCCAAGTAGCTTTTGCAACTGACTAAATTGCGAAAGCTAAATATTCTAAACAATGGAGACCTAATATGTCACTAAAATGAGAACATAGACAATTGATTTAGCGTCCTAGAAAAACGTGAGAGCCACGTGAAGAGATAGCCACTTAATATTCAGAGTATTCCTGAGTTTTGATTCAGGTTTCGCAAAAAAATACTTGAAGATAATTGGACAAGGACTTAATCCAGAACAGGATGAATAAATACTAAAAATGAAAAAAGTAGTGTTGAAACAAGTAGAGGTTTGGGCCTGTTCCAGGATCAATCTGTATTTCTTCATATTATAAAAATTAGTTTTCTAGTTTCTTTTTACTTTTTTAATCTTAATACAATATAATAATTCAAAGATGCTTAAAGATAAAAGAAAATATCAACAAAAACATAAAGATATCAGTATGTTTCAAAATATTATGATTAGGAAAAGTATATCTATAAGGGTTTGTTTATGAAAATATCATGTATTATGCTCTAAAAATGTTTTTCTAAAACTAAACAATGATGAATTGCTAAACAGCTGTATGCATGATGTATCTCTAGGAATCTTCATATATCAAAGTAAAATTTCGCGAAGTATAGATCATCCTTTAAGCCATTACATACTTTTGAAACAAATTTATATCCTGGCAAGGTACAATGAAAAAAATAAAGACTTGGATTGCAATGCATCGCGAATTTATCCAATTTTATTCTCGGAAACGGCGGTATTTCGCTGTTTCAATTTTTGAGGAAGGCGAATTCGGTTAAGTACTTTTCTTAAAGGAATCTGGAAATTGTTGCAGCAGGAATGATTATAATGTTAATTTTTATATCTAATGTATGAAAAATTATATAAGAAATTTAATATTGAGGATATTTTTAGGAAAAAATTAATATAAAAATTATTGTTTGTATCTGAGGTGAGTCATCACTAATACTACTATATTTCATTCCATTTTCTAATTATGTTTTGAATGACATGAGCAGTAGTGGAAAGACTGTGTTGTGTTAAAAAACAAAAAGATACCAATAAATTTAAAGAAATGGATATTTAACAGTTATGACCTATGGAATGGAGATCGTGACACACACAGAGTTATAAAGCAATAAATTAAAAACAAAACAAAGGATCATTGAACTAGCTATGTTGGGAGTTTACCTAAAAGAACATATACGAAACGAGAAAATGTGAAGCAGTACGAACATGGAAGTAGTAGTTGAAAGAATTGCTAAAATGAAATGGAGCTTGGATGGACACGTAACATGAGAAAACAACAAAACTTGTACGAGAAATATTGTAAATTAAAGACCATGCACCAGATGACACAAAATAGAGAAAAATGAAGAACTCATGTAAGGGCTTTGTCCAGAAGTGAAAGCAAACAGGCTGAAGCAGAAGATCTCTACATTAACGAATAGAAAAGCAACTTTTATAGCGCTAGTGAGGCTTTGGGATTATAGAGGGTAGTCCGCTATATCTTGGGCTTGTTATACCCAACAAATCCACAGAAAATCATATATTGCAAACAAAATAAGAATCCTGTTGAAATTACAGATACCAAAAAAAATCACCACAAACTAACAAAAGCGGCAAAACAAAAAATAAAACTAGCTACTACATAAAACATAAAATAAATTAAGGCATAATCAACGACATAGGATGGGATCTGACTTTTTCAGACTACAAAGGCGGATATGAAGGTTTAATAAAACACCAACTAAAAATAATTGGGCTAACAGAAACGACTAAAATAGACGTTAGTATTTGGACTCCTTACCTCACTGACTTGATAAAAAATTGTCAAGAATAGATCAATAAAGCATTAAATAAATTTAAAATCAAAAGCTCCAGTACAAAATTCACAATAAATTTTTAAAGTATTGTAGAAATATACTCACTGAACAACTAAGAATACTCAAAAAACAAAAAGTTGTTCTATGTCACAAAATATCTTACATTTGGGGTACTACTGTATGTAGTATAATAATTTTAATATTTAAAGAGGACAATCAAAGAATACCTGAAAGTTATAGAGGATCTGTTTCGTATTGTTATGAAACTGACTACCAACAATTTTAATTAACAAAAGTGTCATATAAATTGAGTTCACAAGGTTTCAGATCTGAATATTCTGTAAGGATGCGATTTTTAAAAAAAGGCAAATAATTATAAAAAAAATATTGGAAAAAAGCGTTATGGTCAACTGTTGCTTTATAAATCTGCAAAAAAGATTTGACTGTATAGAACTTGATGACGTATAATGAACTATAAATCACAGAAAAAACAACATCCAAACATATCACAGCAGAATCAGCGTGCAGGCTAGAACTACCAACTAATTGACAGAGCCTATACCGGTCGAGAAAGGTCGACGGTGAGACTCATTAAGCATTCTTCTGTTTGACCTCATTCGGGACGAAACTATCAACAAGGCTTATTCGTAAAGTACTGAAAAAGTGAAAATGAATACAGTCCGGAATATCATAGAAAAGATAGTATGGAACAACGTAACATAAATAGCAGGCTAATTGGTATCACAGAATACAAATCGCCGAAGAAGTACAGGAAGAGAGATAAAATGTATCCAAAAATGGCACAAACGCAAATCGATCAAGGACATAAGAAGAAAAAGAAAAGAATAAGATTACTTATGTTTGCAAATTTTGAAAACATTATTATTGAAAAGATAGTTTTTCTCTATTATCCGCCTATACAGTCTAATATTTTAAAAATATTTTTTTTCAAACTTACCACCAAAAACGCCTTCATGCTTTCAGCTCCTCAACCACTAGATGATTCGATGCAAATCATGAATGTACTTGCTATTTATATGTATGTACATACATATGTATGTGTGTATTTGAAGTATATTCTGAAACCTTTCCCTATCAAGGCCGGTCGCTGCCGTTTCAAGTTAGAGTTTTCTTTTTGTTTTTAACTTCGTGATTTGCTAAATTCTAATATTACAGTAACAATTATTTTGGATTAAAATTAGTTCTTTTATTTCTGAAATCACTTCGGAAATCGTTCTCAAAATACAAACATTTTTTTTTTCTTTATTAACAGCATCAACTACTTGGAGTTGTTAGCGGGAGGACATAATATACAATTTACAATTAATTAAATTACAAACAGTCGGGATTTGTACAGTAGTTGTAGATTACAATTAAGCGGGTAGGTTGTGTAGTACAATATTTAAGTTAAGATTATTTTCACAATATGGTGTTTTTAGTAGCGAAAGTAAAACCTGTTTATATAATAATATAAGTAAATTAAACTCATTTACAATTTGTTTAAAATATTTATATCCTTTAGATAATTAAAGAGGTTTTTCGGATTACAATTATCTCCTAAAACATCTTTGATATTTCCAGGTATTGAATGTTTGTGTCTTTCATTAATAAATTTTGGACAATCTACCAAAATATGTGGTATGAATATATTATAGTAACAAAGATCACATATAGGGTGATTTGATTTAGCGATAATATAACCATGAGTTAGTTTGTTGTGTCCTATACGCAATCGAGTCATTTTATCGAATACCCGGCGGTCAATGTTTATTTCACACCATGAATGTGTTGTAGACTTAATAGTGTATAGAAATGATTTTGATTGTTGCCATTTATTTTCCTATTCACTTAGCACTTTCTTTTTTACGAGTGATTTAAAATCCGGCACAGACACTGTATTCACTGTTATTGATGATGCACTTTGTATTGCTTCACGAACGTAATGATCCGCTTTTTCATTGCCTTCCAAACCAGTGTGTGATGGAACCAGATGAAACGAATTTGCTGTTTTGCCTGGTTTATGAGGTGTAATTGATGTTGTATTAGATGAACGATAAGATTAGTGGTCTAGAGCTGTTTAATTAAATGTAATGCACTGTAAAGAGAATCAGTAATTATCAGGGTTTTTGAGATGTTGTGGTTGTTTATATGAATTAATGCTTGTAGAATCGAGTACAGTTCTCCAGAGAAAATACTGCTAGTAGTTGGTAGTTTAAATTGCAATGTGGTAATTGGAGTGATGACTGCTGATCCTACACCATCAGTGGATTTAGATGCATCTGTATAGATGTGATAATGATCAGAAAAACAGAACAGTTTGTTAAATGTTTCATGGTTTATTAATTTGTGAGAAGTTTTAAATTTGTTGTATTTGGTAAGAGTTAGATCTCGTTGTAAAGGGGGTATTATCCATTGTAGAAATGCAGCCGTAGTCGGCTTATCAAATAAGTTTGGAAATTGAATGCTATAAGAGGATAACAACCTTCGAATTCTCTCGTAGAATGGAGGATCTGTTCGAGTTTTTTAATGTATATATCTTTAAAACGGTCCCCAATTGTGTTATGAAGAGCGGGATGCGATTTTATCGATTGAATATTTCAAGTATAAGCTAACAATAGATACATTCTCCTGAATTTCAAAGGTGGTTCGCCAGTTAAACATTGTAGGCTTTCAGTTGGGCTAGTACAAAAAGTTACTGTGGGTATTCTTAATCCTGTATTCTGTATAGTTTCGAGTTTCGAGCAAGTAATGTTTTCTTGGCAGAAGCGTAAACTATTGATTCGTAATCAATCTTTGATCGTATAAATGATTTGTAAATGTTAATAAGGCTTTTAAATTCTGAACCCCAATTGTTCTTACACAGAGTTCGCAATAAATTTAGACCAGTTTGGCAAGTTTTCTTGACGTACATAATGTGCATTTTCCAACAGAGTTTGTTATCAAAAAACATACCTTAAAATTTTATGTAATCAACATATTCTGAGCTGTTTCTATATATCTGCAGATTTGGCTTTGTAAAATGTCGATTTTCTGAGAACAATATACATTTTGTTTTGATAGTAGAAAATTGTACTCCCACAGCTTTTGACCAATTCTCAAGTGATTTAATGTACATTGTAGATTTTTTTGTATCTAGCGAATATTTTTTCCTTTTGTATATAATACTAAATCATCAGCATATAATCTTGCTTTAACAAGTTTTGGTAAATTATCTAATATTTTATTTATTGAAATCAAAAAAGTGTTGAACTGATAACGGATCCTTGTGGAGTTCCATTTTCTTGATTTTTCATACTTGATGTAATACCATTTACACGTATTTTAAATTTCCGATTGTTTAGGAAATTACGAATAAAACAGAGCATGTGACCTTTGACTCCCAGTGACTTAAGTGACCCCAGTTGTTAAAATATCATACCTCCAAGCCATATCGAAAGCTTTATTTATATCAACAAATACCGCAAGACATTCCTGTTTGATAGCAAAACTTTCGTTATTTCTGACTCTAAATCTATTAGATTATACCAGAGTTGACCTGTTTCTTCGAAATCCACTTTGTTCGTTTAATCGTTAAGTTATTTTCCCTAGAAACCACAACAACCTTTTATTTACCATTTTTTCTAATATTTTGCATATTGTGTTAGTAAGAGAAATTGGTCTATATGATTTAGGGTCAGTTCGTGTTTTGTTTGCTTTCAATAAAGGTATTACTATTGTCTCGCCCATTTCGATGGAAATTCATGACTATATCAAATTTTGTTGTAGAGGTCAAGAGAGGAACAGCTTTGCATTGTCAGGTAGATTTTGAAGAAAACTTACCGGAATGTAATCTGGTCCTGGTGCCGACTTATTGGTGGTACTTAAGGAATGATTTAGTTCTTCTATTGTAAATGGTTTGTTAAGGAGGTTATCTTTCATGCCAATAAAATCAATTAGTTGTTGTTCTTTACGTATCTTAATGTTTAAAAAGTCTTTGGAATAGTTGTTGTTACTAGTGTTAATTTCGAATTGCTTAGCAAATAACTCTGCTATTTCAACGTCAGATAATAATAAATATTTTCTTTTTTCCATACAAAACGGAATTTTTTATATCTATTGCATCCAGATATTTTTCTAATCTTTTCCCATACAGTACCTATAGGCATAGAATTGTTAACTTGCCAAGATTTTTTTTACTTAAAATACAAACATTCTTTACGTGACAAATTGCTAGTAATGTCTTAAACATATGTCCTGGTGGGTCCCTGGACGAGTAAGTATCCCTATTTTTCCTGATATTTGTTTTTTCTTGCTACTATTTCTTCTTTGTGTTTATGTCAGTTATAGGAAATTGAATGAGTTGTTTTTGACTCGAATATATACACTTTTTGCACTCGCAATTAAGTAATTTTTCATTATTTATTTCTCAACACGTAATTGGTAAAAAAGTAAATAAAATAAGTGTTGCCTCCTTTTATTATTTTTTTTAATTATAAATTATATAAAACATTTTCACAAAATCTGTAGTAAAACATTTTTTATATGAACGTTTTAAAGATCATGTTTCACAAATTAATCAAACTGGTATTAACCTACCTCAACATTACGTGTTTATCTAATTAAATTATAAAACCGATTAAAACTACCACAAAAAATAAAAACCCATAAAAAACGCTCCAGTCTGTCAGAAAGTAAAAAATAGGTATAAAACTAAACAAATAAAAACAACTTGTTTTAATTAATGGCAACAACCCAATAATTACAACTAAAATAACACGCAAAAATATCGTATAAAATGGATTATAAAGTATTGAGAGTGTATATGCAACCTTATTGCGTTTTAGAACAATTAAAACCGTATGACTATTTCGTGTTAAGGCTAAAATTTAATGTAAACACATTTTAGCCTTCAACTTCAGGTCTCCTTCTTTTGCATTTTTTTCTTGATTCTGTACTCTCTTTCGATATTCACTAAATTTTGACATCAGGATGTATTTATATTTTCTTGTTTTCGTCATTCTTTTGATCTGACTGGGCCATTTTAGTTGATTAATTTTTATAATGTCTAATATTGTAGGTATACTCTAATATCATATCAAGTACAACTAACTAGTACTATCTAGTATAACTGTATTCTAAAAACATCGGATAAAGGGCCTTCTAGAGACAAAGAAACTTGGTGGTGAAACGATGAAGTGCAACAGAAGGTTAAAGAAAAGAGACTAGAAAGAGATATGGCAGGTCTAAAAGAGAAAGATAAGGATTTATACAAGGTAGCAAAGAAAGAAGGAAAGCATGCTGTAGCTACTGCTAAGGAAAGATCGTTTGCACAACTATATGAAGAATTGAAAACACTCGAGGGGATAAAAAGGTTATACATCATTGCTAAAGCAAGCGATAAGTCATTAAAAGACTTGACCCACGTGTGGCACATGAAGAGCAAAAGATGGTATGAGTACTTTAGAAAGGAAATTTGCTAAATAAAGAACACCAGAGGAGAGACAGAGGATGCCAATTGAGAACGTAATACCGAGGATAGCGAGAAATGAAGTTGTCGAGGTGTTAAATAAGATAAAGATGGTGTAAAGCTAAGTAAGAGGGAGGGATTGATATTTTGTGGCAAATGATAAGTAGGATATATAAGGAAGAAAGGATGCCCAATGCATGGACATAGAGTGTGATTGTATCATTAAATAAAGATAACGGTGACATTCAGGACTGTAAGAACTTCTTCTTTCTTAGGGTGCCTGTCCGTTCCGAACGTTGGCGATCATTCTGGCTATAATGACTTTATTGAATTCTATACAAAATATAACTGTAAGAACTATAGATAGATAAAGTTAATGTCGCACACAATGAAAATTTTGGAAGGAAACTGTAGAGCAAAGGCTATGAAGAAAGACATCGATAGGAGGTTAGATTTACTAAAATTACATGTTTGTTCAAAGACAATCCAATACCAGATACATATGAAATTTAAATCCATTAGTAAAGAATATTTAAATCCGCATTATTGTTAGGGACTTTTTGTTCTTTAGATGGTATAA